TTTCCCAGTGCAATACATCTCCTGATCTTCCAGTTGCTAGTGCCAATTGTATTGATTATAGATCCAAGTAAGATGAAGTTGTAAAATTTCCTGACACTAAACTGAAGTGTTGTCACTAATTTCTTTCTAATTTTAATCTCATGTTGACGAGAAACTTTAATTTTCAGTTTAGGGGATTATAAAAACAGAATATTCTTTTAAATATATTATACACAAAGTTTCTAGCTGAAAAATCTTCCCAAACTGTTAACAGCCTAGATTGTTTGAGGACTACAGAGGCATTTGGATTAATCATTGCTCCAAACCAGAACAAAAGCCCACAGTAAAAACAAACAAAAACACCACACAGGTTGGTTTTGTGGTTTTTTTAAATTTTTTTTCTGTTGTATAGTTCTACTTAGTAGAAGGAGTTTGTAGCGTTAACACTTTCAGCTGTTGATCAAAAGGTAGAAGGTTTGAATGCAATGAGAAGTGCCTTGGAAGACAGGCTTACTGCTCTACTTCTGATAATCAGCCACTGAAAACCATAAGGAGCAAGTTCTACTCTAACATAACAGAGTTGCCATGAGTTCAAATCAACTTGACAAGAACTGGTTTTAGTATTCAGTAGAAACTAAGAAAACAACATTTTATGAGCAAGGATTGAATTAGTTCAAAGGAAGAGAATGTGAGTGAGATTATGGTAGACATGTAGATGTTGGTGGGGATACGGTTGTGGCTCATGATTATTGGTGTGAGGTAAGTTGTGAAGTGTGCTTGAATCAACTATGTGTCATATCCATCCTACATAGCAAATGTGAAGCTTGCCCTCTCTTGTCCCGTCCTCACTGTCTCTGATAAGCTTGAACACATTCTTGCAGTCATTGCGTCACTTCAACTTGTTGAGGGTCTTTCTCCCTTTCTCTGAACCTCTGCCTTCCTGAACTTGATGACTTTTCCTAAGTATTAGTCTTTCTTTCAAACATGTTTTAAATATGTGAGATGAAGTTTCATCACCCTTGCCTAGAAGGGGAACCTTGGTCTTCTTCCAAGACAGATCTATATGTCCTTTTGGCAATCCATAGGTTATTCAGTACATTTCATCAACACTACAATTCAAAAGTATTCGTTCTTCTGCCATATATATTCATTGTCCTACTCTCAGACGCATGCAAAGCACCTGAAAATACACGGCTTATATTAGAAACACTTTAGCCTTTAAACTGACATCACTTTCTTTCAGTATTCTGGAGAAGTTCTTGATAGCAGGTTTTCCAAATGAAAGATGTCTTTTGGTTTCTTGTCTGCTGTTACCATATGTATTGATTTTGGATCCAAGTAAAAAGAAATCCTTGACAAACTCAATCTTTTCTCCATCTGTCATCATGTTGTCTATTAGTCTAGCTATGAGAATTTTTTTCCTGGATATTGAAATATAATCCTTACTGAAGGCTATTATTTTGATCTTCTGCAAAGGTGTTTCAAATCAATTCTGCAAACAAAGTTTTGTCATCTTCATAATGCAAGTTGTTGTTGAGTCTTCTTCCAATCCTGATGCCTCATTCTTTTTCATATAGTCTAGCTTCTTGAATCATTTGCTCATTATACAAATTGAATATGCATGGAGATATTACGCACATCTTTTCTGACTTTTAATCATCCTATGTTCTTTTTTTCTGTTTAGAAACTACTTTTTGGTCTATGTCTAGGTTTTGCATGAGCAGAATTTGTGTTCTAGGATTCCTATTCTTCTCAGTTTGTTATCCATTCGGTCAAACACCTTTGCATAGTCAATGTTGTTATGCGGCACTGATTCGACTACAACTCATAATGCCCCTATGCACAACAGTTCTGAACCTTGCCCTATCCTGAGCCAATCCCACTGTCTCTGAAATACCTACCATTATTATCCCAGTTACTGAATTAGTCCATCTCATTTGGGGTTTTCCTCTCCAGCATTGTCCCTCCAACATTCCTGATGTGATGTCCTTCTCCAAGGACTGGTCCCTCCTGGCAATATCCCCACAGTATGTCAGATGGAGCCTCAAAATCCTTGTCTCCAAGGGGCAGTTTGGTTTTACTCTCTTCGGAGTATACATGTTAATTCTCCTAGCAGTCCATTGTATGTTCAATACTCTTCTCCAGCACCATAACTCAAAGGCATCAATTCTTCTTCTATCATCCTTAGTCATTATCCAACTCTCTGATACATAACAGGTATATAAGATCATGGCTTGAATTAGGTGCACTTCAGTCTCCAGATTGTTGCTCTTTAGCACTCTGGAAAGGTCCCTGACAGCAGATTTTTCCTAATGCAACTTGTCTTTTGATTTCTGGCTGCTTGGTGCCAAGAGTGTTGATTGTGGAACCAAGCAAGCTGAAATTGTTAACAAACTTCTCCTTCTATCATGGTGCTGCCAATTGACCCAGGGGTGAGAATCTTTTTTTCTTTTTTTTTTTTTTAATCTTTCCAGAGAGTCAAAGCTTGCTCAGGCAAATGGCCCCTAGCAGCTTTAAAGCCCCTGCTTTTATTAGCATTCAGAAACAAGAAATAGTTTACAAAGAAATGAAAACTTTAAGGATTACTTTATAGGGCCAGAATGGGCGAAGTACACTGATAGATAAAAGACACTTACAGAAAGTAAGACTTCTTTGTATTCATTAACTGTGCTATTGTGTTTTCTTATATTCGTAACAACTTTATCAGGAATAAAACCTTCTGCTTCTGTCTTCAAGGTAGTATGTGTCCCAGGATGTACAAGGACAGCTTGCAGTCCTCTTTCTTGACATGCAAGTCAAGCAGCTAAGTCCTTAAGACACATGTCTCTTGGCTTGAAGTAATGCTACATTTCTCCTTTTAACTTTTTAGACAGTTTGTTGTTAATTATAGTGGAAAACACAGCAACTTGTTGCTTCATTTAGTTAGTGGCTTGTTATCATAGACAGATTACACAAAATACAAACAATAATATGATTGTAATTGACAGCATCTTTAAAATAGTTCCAAACAAAGATGAGATACATTTTATAGGGTATAAAGATGCAATACCATCAGAAAACTTCCGAAATACACAAAGTATCTTAAACATGATTTTGTAACTTTAAAATAGATTGTGATAAATTTT